GAAGCTCGCTTCGTAACCCCTCAGAGCCATATTTGCGGTCCATCACTTACACCATCTGGGTCTTGATGGCTTGGGATGGGGTTCCCCTCCTGCAAGCCGCCAAAAACGTTCGAGAAAAAGCAGCCAGAGCAGGTTGGCGGCGGGGAAGAGAGAAAGGTGTCATTTGCTATGGCGAGATTGTCTCAAGCCATCATCATGATCACGAGATAAACCTCAATTTTCCCTGCACCCAGTGATGTTGGGAGATCCCCTAGCTGAACCATGACGAGAGATATCAAAGATGGCGTAGCCATGTTGAAGGCTGCCCTGGTACCAAGGTTTCAAGGCCATGACTGCATATCGTAAGATTAAGAATGTAGTCGGCTGTTGGTGTGAGTGGGCGTCTCCTCTTCCGCAGTAAACGCAAGAAGCGAGGAGCGAGAGATATCGACCTCAGCTTGGCCACAGGAAACATGAAACACACAAGCGCGCTGCTGAAGGCGTTATGCTCTCGTCTCAACTTTCTCAGTGGCTGACTGTCTGCCCATCAATAAAGATCCCGCCCACCCCTCCCGAACATGCCGGCTTCGTTGCTGGAAATCTTGCTCGACGCCACACGTCGACTTCTTGGGTCAAGCACTCGACCAGTATGTCCCGATCTGGCATCCCGCAGGAGAAGGATGGGACCCAGCCAGCCGGCTACAGTGTCTGCAATAGCAATATTCGACACCGACTGGTCCTTCTGTCCAATGGTGCGGCCAGGAGTGGGTTCCAGAAAAAGACATCTGAGTTGCAATGGGGGTGTGGGCTTCGAACGGGACCTGGCCTGACTCTCTCACTGACATCCCAACGGGCAATATAGAGTGCAGGAGAGGGAAGCATCGCCAGTGAACGCCAGCCTCTCGTCGGTCCCGTGTCATGGATGACAACTCCTGGTATGGCATGCCAGACCATGCTAGTGTGGAAGGTGAGCAAAAGGTGTGTAAGTTCGGATCCCTGCTACTGAGCCTCATTGGCTGCCGGGCTGACGCCCTCCTTCGGCCGCCATCCTGGAGAAAGACCGAGGATACGGCAGGCGATTGGGCGAAAAATTCGAAACGAGGGCAAATGGGTGGTGCCGCTTTTGGACGTTACTGCAGACCAGGTGTGGCCTAGAACTGGGTGAGTTGAGGCATTCAACATGTGCCATTTGTTCCCGACGTCCAGCCTGCCAGATTGCAGTGAGCATGAGGCTGCTGTAGAACCGGCTTCTGTTCCTGTCTAGGGTATCAAATCTCCGTCCACTTAGGCATGATGATCGTGGTGGAAATGATGCTGATGCTGATGTTGATGATGTTGATGCTTCAAGCTGAAAGCCAAGCTGTGAGGGCGAGGTGAAGTCCGTGAGGATTGCCCAGACCTGCCAACTGAATTACGAATACAGTGAGGGGTTTGTGCGTTTCCAAACTTGGAAACAGAGTGGGTCTGCAGCCTTTTCCCCCATAGCCCCACTATTTTCAACGAACAGCACAACTACAAATTGTGGCTGGCTCATGTGGCTTGCGTACTCTCTGTGTGAGGTGAAGGCAAAGTGCCGTCTCTTGCCGCGCGCACAAGCTGGGTGTGAATATCAGCTCAACCCGTGACTGACAGTCACTTGACTTCGGGCGCGCTTCCTTCTTCAGGGAAATATCCCGTGATCGCAAATTCCTGGATCTTTGCAACCTCCTGTTTCGGCCAAACACGCCCATCGTCCACTGGCAGATCGTCCCTTGGGTGTCTTGCGGCTTTCCCTTTTTGTACCTGCTTCTCATCTCGCGACACACTACGAATCACCAATGGCTTCGGCTTGATAACGCTCGACTTGGGACTCCCTTATTTTTACTATGCATGACGACCCAATGATCCCACGGCGGGTATCGAGAAACAAGACAATTCGTCGCGAGGGACTTTGAAGAGGTCACAAAGCTTGGAAACTGGGCTCGGAATGGAAAACCCCGCTGGCAAAGAAGAGGAGGCGAGTTTACCGCAAGGAAACTACATACCATCCAGCGTCATCCTCCCTGCTTTCGTCGCGATCCTTCTCTGTCCTATGCACACCGCTAGATGTGTCTCTCGGAAGGTTTATTGCCTCACATGAGTCCCTTGTGATCATGACTCCTCGACCTTAATCATCTACGGGGGTGACGGGTATCGGACATCGGCCCCTGCCCTTGTCTTGTCCGTCTCCCGTCTCCCGTCGCCCCGGGCGGCCTTGGCAACGTTGACGTCACTTGTCTTTTCTCGATGAAGCTTGTCTGTCAAAGTCAACATCAACGTCAGACTGAACTGTATTACAATACACGCTGATTTTTTACCCAGATGCCCAAGCGATCTACTAGCAAGCCTCATGCACTCCCGGCCAGCCCGCCTGATGCCCAACCGACCCATCGAATTCTTCGTTCAGTTCATAATGCCGAGGACCAGCAGGGCAACTGAGGCGAAGCCGACCTTCAAGATGTGGGGCCGCGCTGTTGCCCTTCGGAGGCAGCCGACTCAGCCGACCGACCGATCGACTGCCGAACAACCCTCACCTTAACGTGGCCGCCACGTAAACCCGGCAACTCTAACGCCACATCTGAAAAAATCGAAGAGGGTGACATTCACGGCATTCAAGCGAGAAAAAAGAAGATCTATTTTCAGCTGGCTTAGGGTAGTGCAAAAAGACGTCAAGGATTGCCCCCAAAGTTACGCAACCCCTGAACGCGGGGATGCCAGCATGCCAGCTAGACCCGAGGGTTAGGGTCGGAGATAGGGCTTCCTCAACGCCCAACTGCTGATCGGTGAGCTCAGAGATCGCTTCGGTGAAGTCAGCAGGCTCAGGCCCACGTAACTGCAGCCAACTCATATGTAGCCCTGCCAACAACTGCCAACAACATGACCCAGCCGATCAAGGGAGTTTATGCAACATGCAAACACGGACAGGATAGGACCTGTCGGTGTACCCGGAAGCAAAGGCAGATTTTTTCTGAACGTTTCTCGGCAGTTGCACCTAAACCAGACCACCGGTCTGTCACTTGTCAACCTTGGTGGTGGAGGTCAGCACTTTGCTGGGACAACCCCACATTTGCCATCTTTTAGCGTACCGACGCAAGGGAAAGGGGGCTCAGCCCAACGGTCGTTTGTTGACACTCTGGGACACTGAGGTAGGTAGCTTTTGAACAGTAGATGCTTTCTTCAGTCCACGTCCCTTTGCCTTGGGCAAGACATGTTTCTTTGAGTTTTGGAGATCCATTTGGGAATCGAAGAAGGAGATGCTTTCCACAGCAGAGCATGATCTCAAGGTCAATGACAGTTTCCTGCCTGCTTACCCTGTTCCCCTTATCGCCAACTATCCTCTCTGCCATCAGAAAACAACAACTCTTTTATTTTATTTATAAAAAAAGTCACTCAAATTCATAAGTGACTGAATGAAAACCCCAAGATCATTACGTTCCATTGTCTCTTCCTTGACTTTGACATCAAGTCTGGCTTCCGTCCCTCAGGCTCTTCAAGATTAAAGAGGTTGACCTGTGCTGAGTGAGTTCTTCACAGCGCGCAAATTTCAACAAGGTAAGGTAAACAAAATGATCAGTAGAAGATTCAAAAAAGCCTGAATTAGACTGAGCGATTCGAGCTGCTATTTATGACATAGCAGGCACATGCGAGTAACATTTGCCTCCATAGGTAGGTAGGTAGTTAAGAAGTCATATTTGTTTACTAGCTCCTCCGTGCCCAAAAAAGACCCTTAACATACCAGGTAGGTACTTTATATCACAATGACCTACCTATCTTAGGTACATACCCTACCTATCGAGTAATGGCTATTCCAACAATTTGACCAAAATACGTAAATGATAAAGCATAGGCTTAAGTAATTGTTGTCAAGTAAGATAGAAACATCGCAACACTCCTATTGCAACATGAACGCTTTCCTCATGTTTGCTTGTTGGGGGGAACAAGGCTGAAGTGACATAGATGTCGAGTCGAGCTTGCAAGACACCTTTTATGATCATCCAGACACTTCGATTCCCGTCAGCGGGCCCGGAGAGGACGCGGGGCGGGGAGGAAAGATGGAAGGGTTTACATTACCGGTTTTGTGTGAGGTTGAGCTTCTGCTGGTAAAAAAAAACTACAGGTAGCTGTGTTCTGGAGTGAGGTAGGTAGTTGTGTAGTCTTGGCTGTCCTAAAGTAGGTAGCTGGCCAAAGGAGTGTGTTGGAGATGTTGGGTTTGACGAAAAGGTCACACATGTAAGGTAGGTACATACATACCTTACCTATGCTAAAATGTGACTTTATGTATAGGGGCCTGGGGTAGAGGTTTGATACCTACCAGGGCTTTTATGAGATCATGTGGGCAACACCTTTTAGACGTCAAAGGTACCTTACCTGCTTTCCGAATTGCCACTGGATGGCTAAAGTAGGTACATATCCCCACAAGGGTCTGTGGAAAACAGATATCTGCTGTTTACACCAAAGTTCAAACAGACCTCAGGTACGAGAAGCAGGCATAGTTTAAGTGTCTTCTTTCCTCGTCATCTACTTTGAACTAAAGTCTAGTAAGCAGCAGCTACCTATAGACATCCCATGAACAGCCCTTTTGCGAACTGTCGTGCTAAGACAACAGACATAAGAAGTGTTGACAGGAGAAATGAACAGTGAAATAAATGAAACGATAAGTATTGGGTAGTCTGACACAACCGACTAGGGTAGACGAGCAACACTCGTCAGTAACAATCAAGAAATAGAAGTCAACAGACCTCAGAGACAACAGACCTCAGAGACAACAGACTTCAGAGACAACAGACCTCAGTCAACAACAGGCTTCACTCAACACTCAAGCCACCATTTTCCACCTCAACAAGCGCCACCAAAGCCAACTTCCTCTTGCATCAACAGAACTCACTCAACAACAGACCTCAGTCAACAAAAGCCCTCAGACCTCAAACCACTAAGCAACAAAAGTAAAAGGAAAGATCCAAAAACAAAAAAAGAAAGCCACTAGATAGCTTTATACGTTGCCATGGACGAGCTGGGAATCGAACCCAGGACCTTTCGCATATTCGACTCAAATCTCCTGATCTGAAAGACCATTCGAACTGAAATATGCTAAGCGAACGCTCTACCAACTGAGCCACACGCCCTGTTTTATTTTCACATTCCCACCTTCCCAAATATCCCTCTTTGTCGAAACCCTTCCTTGATGTTTGTGGGTATGTAGTGGAGTTAAGGGCTCTTGACCTCTCCAGTCCATCCCCATCCGGGATCCCCCAGCCCAGAGCAAACACACACACACACAATGTTGGGCGACGACAACCTCTTGTTCCCCCCACACAGCCTCCGCAACCGCCGCCATAGTTTCAAGCCACCCGATAATTCTCCATCAAGTCAAATCAAAAAGGGCCGCTGATCTAGTGGTATGATTCTCGCTTAGGGTTCACCCTACAGCATTGCTTGCGAGAGGTCCCGGGTTCAATCCCCGGGTGGCCCCAGACAATACACCTTCTACAAGAAGTTCCTTTTTTGGCTTTCTTTTCTTAATTTTTTTTTTTTTTTTTCATGGGTCTGTGGCTGGCGAAGTTGGTTGCGATGAGCAAAGCAGAAAGGACTGGATGAAGGAAGGACACCGGACAAACGGCCAGTGACTCATCACCGCTCCATATACCCTCTATCAAGCTCATTATCAACAAACGCTATATAATCTTTTCATTCCCAAACACCTACTACGGAATATCATAGTCTTGTTCTCATAAAGCAGGAGGAACCCCCGGGCTGACAACCCCCCCATCCTGCCCACCTTGCCCAGCTATCCCCCCTCCCCTCGGCTTCGTAATCTCGAAAAACTCAATCAGCCCCTTCACAACCACATCCACATTCATGTTAATCTGCGGCATCTTCTCGTAGCTCCCCTCCTTCATGATCGCCACCAGCGCCAAAAACTTGTCCACCTCCCTCAGCATAATCGGCCGCTGCGCATCCGCCAGCACCACCCCGCTCTCGGCCCACTCGCAACCCACCTGCTCCCCCAGCGGCTGCGCCCACGGCTCGCCTTCCAGCCGGGCTTTCCACTCCTGAGACCGCGGCCAGCTCCCGTACACCTCCGTAAAGTCAATAATGACATCCACGTAGTCTGAGCAAATCTCGTAGCTCGCCATGTCCTCCGGCGTGGAATCCGTTGCGATGTAAATCTTGGTGTTGACATCAAACAGATACGCCTTTTCGAACCTGCACGTCCGGCACAGGTTCGTCAGCATTGCCTCTAGCTGTCCCAGCCTCGGAATCAGCTTCTGGATGACCTTGCTAAAGGCCTCAAAGATGCTGTGGTTGTAGATGCTTGTGAGGTGGAAGTTGACGGGGGCGTTTTCGATGCCCTGGTCCGACAGCTCGTCTTGGATCCGTATCGTCACGTCGCGCTGAATGTCTAGCTTGTAGTCGTCACTAAGGCCGTCGACTTTGTGGATAAAGACCTCGATGTTGATGTGCGGGTAGCTTCGCTGGACGTGGAGGATGGTGACGTTGAGTCGGGCCACGGCTTCCAGGTAGTCATCTTGGGCATCAATGACCCAGATCAGAGCTCCAATCTCGCCAAAGATGGCATCCATGTCGAAGGAGTAGGCCGGGTTCTCAAAGATGTCGATTTGCCCCGGAAAGTCCCAGACTTGAAACTCCATGAAGGAGCTTGAAGGTGTTAGCTGATGGCCTACATAAAAAAACCGCTACCGTGAAACACTTACTTGAGACTGTCCTTTTGAATTCTGGCCGTGGACTCGAGAAACAATGTCTCGCTCGCTGGCAACTTGTGAAACACCACGCTCGAGATGGACGATTTCCCACTCCTAAAACGCACACATGGTCAGCGACAGGAGAACACCATCCAATCAGAGACCAAAACCCCATACCTTCTTTGCCCCATCAACAATAGACGAGGCTTCCCCTTCGTTTGGGGCGTGGTGGGATCCGGCACTTTGGGCCCATCCTTCTTTTGAATTCGTTGCCGGTTCTGTTCATAAACACGAGAGAGATTTAGCGCTGCTGGACTGATAAACCTGACTGGAAGAGGACGCAAAGGCTGAGCGTGCAACTCCTCGTGGCCATCACCAGAAGGACCGCCACGATCACCACCAGAAGAAGACATGGCAGGAAAAACAAAATCTGGGAAGGTAATGTGTCTCCGACAGAAAAAAAGGGAGCCCCTGAGGTAGGTATAAGCAAAGCAAGTGTCCCCTTCGTCACCGCCCTTGCATGCCCCAAGAAGCAAGCAAGTAGGCACACAAGGCAGAGCCCAACCCTCGGTATCGAAGACCCTTCGTTTGCAAGTGTATAAACAGTCGAGCGGGATTGGCCAAGCCGGGAGTTGCTTGCTTGCTTGCTTGCTTGCTGCTGAACCGGCCGAGAGACGGGAAGCCAAGTAGACTCAGAGATAAGACAACGGAATTGTGCTTGAAGAGAAGGATGGGTAGGTCTGAGGTGGCTTTTGCGGCCCGACGCATGCGCTTCTTGCTCTGAGAGAAACAAAAGACTCTCACAGCATCTGCTCGCCGCTGCAAGAACAGCGAGCCTGTGTCGTTGCGCTTGGTCTAACCGGCGAGACGGCCTCACCGATGGTTGGCACCATATCCGCAAATCGCCTCCATTTTTAAATTCGCCCCCCGAACTTTTGCTGGTTTGTGTTTCTGTGTTCCTGTCTGACAGAGAAAGAAAGGAAGAGAAAACGAAATCAAGGGGACGAGAGAAAGCGACTACCGCACTGACGGAAATGGCAAAGTTGCGGTCAGAGGAGCCCATATAATACTCGACTAGGCAAGAGCGAGGCATGACAGCATATAATCGCAAGTAAAAAAAAACCAGGAACCGGCACAGTCTAAGCCGACCCAGTCTTATGGTTGCACAAGCACTTCCCGATTCCAGTGAGTTGGGCCCATTGGCTCGGCCGGAAAGTCAACTCGAGTGGCCATCCGGTGACGACAAGGGCAACGTACAGCCAGCAGACAAAAGGGTTTCAGGTAACTCATACTCGCTGACAAGACATTTTGCAATGTTTGACACCCGAGATTTCTGCTGCCTATACTTTACCTTTACCTGGCCGTCTGGCTGCCTGCCTGCCCGCTCGTTCCCGTCATCCGTCCACCCGGCCGTGCTGCGACTGGTGTGACACTTGCCTGACGAAGATGACGAAGAGGCTTCCCTGTTTGGTGGGAAAGCGAAGGGTTGGAGGTGAGCGAAGAAAAAAAAACCAGACAGCGGTGTCCGTGTTCAGGGGTCCAGGGGTAAAGTGTTGGTTGCGGCGGTAAAAGGGGAACGGACAGAAAACTTGGAAACGCCCCCCAACGCTGCCGGATTGCTTCTAGAACCAGCTGGGCCAACGAAATAGAAAGACAAGACCCCTGTGTAACTTGGTGATGGTAAAGGGCTAGCTGCGCAATGGAGCAATCATCTCAAAGGATAAATTCCTCGGAGAAAGAGCAAAGCAAGGCCCGGCACTTGCAGGGATTGTGGCTTGTTGTAAGATGCTGTGCTGTGTATGCGCTGTGATGGCGGAGGTTGCGAGGAAGAATAATGTTTGCCCTTACCTCCATGTTGAATATGGGATGAGAATCGCTTGACCTTGGCTTCCACACCCCAGTTCCTCCACAAGGTCAATTGGTCGAATTTTAATCACCAGACGTGAAAACGGTGTGCTGAACTCCAGGATCAACTACACGAGGCCCGGAGAGTCAAGGCTGTGGCGTCAAAGTTAGTCAACTGGAGGTGAGCAAGGACGAGTCTGACGAATAAGACGACATCTCATCATGAATCTGGGCTGCTCGACTCACCGTTGTCTCTGTGCGACAGGGTCGGTGTACTCGAGGAGAAAAAAGGTCGATTTGCCCTTGGGGCAAGATGTAAATCTCACAGGTGACCAATTGAGTTGGTTGGTGTGATCGATCGTCGGTGAGAAGTGTCAACTGAAGTGTCAACTGATAAGGCTTTGTCCTGAATCAACCCCGCAGGTGAAGCTCTCGCTCTCAGTTCGCTCTCCAGCAGCTTCAGATGAGGCGAGTTCAGGTCGTCTCAACCCCCGCAGATAGATCCCAGGCAGTAAAAAAGTTGACGCCCAAGCTCTCGCTATCTGAATTATATCGGAGGAAAAAGAAAGAATATCGATAAGGCTCTGTGCTGTGTAGTATGCAATTCGCTGTCTCAGGGCCAGGAGGTGTTCAGTCCAAGGCGCCAATGGCTATTGGAGGGGACCTAGACTTTCAGGTGAGTGACATTCACCGAAGCGGGCTGCTGCGGGGTGGTCCCCAGCGCGATTACATAAACCCCGCTCCCGAAGTTTAGCGCCTGCGCCGGCCTGGAGATCTCAGATCTCAACATTAACCGCCCGAGCGGAAGCTAAGGTATTTCTTGGCATCGAGAGACACATTCAAAACATGCTCGATTCAACTTCAAAGCTACTATACGAGAAGAGTACCATCGACCAAAAAGCCCAATGCTATGCTATACCGTGTCCTCTGCGATACTCATACTAGAACATGGATGTATCTCCCCCTCATCCCTCCCTTCTCAGCTGGAATCACGAATCACTGGCAGCGAGGAGCGATGTTCCGGCCTCTTCACACTACCTGACCGGCCGAATATGGTAGCCACAAAGCTCTTCTTCTTACGTGCTGTTCTTGGAAGTGGCTGGTTTTCTTGTTTTGGAATCCCCTCTTTGTTTTGAACAACAGTCTGAGCTGCTCCTGACGATGGCGAGCCTGGAATAGGGGGGAGCGCCTCGTCACCACTGGCTGGCGGTGTGAGCTCTTGGTTATGGAATCTTGGCGCTGATGATGGCCGAAAGTTTGCCATTGACTGTGTCACACTGTCAATACCGACTCGTGGTTGAAAAATAGTGGTGTGCAAGACTCACGCCGACACTCAACTTCTTCCTCCCCTTGAGCCCCCTGGATATAGCTCCCTGAGCCTCGTCCAGCGCGACCTTTGCTCCTCCTCCCAGCCCTACACCATAAATGGTTTTCTCCAGCTCATCAATCTCCCCGGCCATCGTATTACCGTTACACGCCAGATGCTCTTCCTTGGTAGGGACGAACCTCAGGAAACCCCTCGCCGGCACTACTCCAATTGCCTCCTCCATATGTTTCTGGATCAGCGCCGTGTTTCG